CTCTAACCCCTCCCCTCCCTCCCCCTCCTCTACCCCCCATTCGCTCCCTCCCCTCCCTCCCCCTCCTCTACCCCACCATTCGCTCCCTCCCCTCCCTCCCCCTCCTCTACCCCTCCCCCCCTTCGCTCCCTCCCCTCCCTCCCCCTCCTCTAACTCCCCCTTTGATCCCCCCCCCCCTTTCGCTCCCTCTCCTCCCCCTCCTCTAACCCTCGTGTAACCCCTCCCCTCGCTCCCTCCCCTCCCCTCCCCTCGCTCCCTCCCCTCCCCTCCCCTCGCTCCCTCCTCTCGCTCCCTCCCCTCCCTCCCCCTCCTCTAACCCCTCCCCTCCCCTCCCCTCCCCTCCGCTCCGCCTCGTCTCTCCCCTCATCCCTGTTATCAGCATTTACAGATCGCTGGGCTGGGAAAACCTTGCCTCCTCCTCCCCCCCGTGCTGCCCGTTTCCTGTGGCCTTCTGTTCCGTGTTGTCTTGTTCTCTTTCCTTTTTCGTCTTTCTCTTCATTCTACTTATCACTTTTTTTTTGCAATAACAGTGGTGATTATTCCCATCATGTTTTGTTATCATTATCGTTATTGATTGTATTAATATTTGATGTTATTATTAATATCATAGATTATCATTATCATTATTATCATTGTTATTATTTTTATTGTTGTTAATATCATTACTACTACTTACTATTGTTACCATCATTACCATTAAAATTATAATTTTCATTGTTATCACTATTATCATCATTAATATTAATATCATTATTATCAATATTTTATAATAATAATAATAATGATAATATTATAATAATCATTATTATCATTATTATTATCATTATTATTATTATTATTATTATTGTTATTATTATCATTATTGTTATAATTGTTATCATTTCTTCCCTATCATTATTATTATCATTATAATTGCTTTATTTATATCATTATTATTCCTGTCATTATCATTATTGTTATTTATATTACTGTTGCTTTTATTTCTATTATTATTATTATTATTATTATTATTATTATTATTATTATTATTATTACTATTATCATTATTATTATGGTTCTTCTTATTATCATTTGCTTTATTATTATTATTATTATTATCATTATTATTATTTTTATAATTATTTTTATTGTTGTTGTTATTATTATTAATATTATTATTATCATCATTATTATCATCATTATTATCATCATTATTATCATTATCAACATCATGTTATCTTTGCATTTTTTTTCTTATTCCTGCTTCCTTCTCCTCCATATTTCTTATTTTTCTGCTTTTTTACTTTTCTTCGCCCTTTTCTCTTTCATTTTTTCCTTCTTTTTTCATCACGTCCTCCTCCTCCTCCTCCACCTTCCTTCGTCTCCCTTTCCTATCACTTCTGCCTTTATCTTTCCCCTTTTCTTCTTCCTTTTCTTCCCACCTATCGCCTCCTCATCCTCCTGCATCTTCAGCATTCCTTCTTTTCTCCTTCCCCTCTTCCTCTTTTCGTTTCTCCTCTTTCCGTCTTACCTCTTTTCGTCTTATCCTTGCTTTTCCATTTTTCTCATATTATCCGCCTTTTCTCTGTTATCCTTTTTTCTCCTTCCTTTTTCCGTCTCCCATCTTCCTCCTTCTTTCTTTTTCTACTCCTCTTTTCCTTTTCCTCTCTTCGTCTCTCACTCTTCCTCTTTCTTCGTTCTTTTTCTCCTCCTTCCCCATTCCTCTTTCTATTTCTACTATCTCCTTCTCTTTCTTCTTTTTTCTCTTCTTCTTCCGCCTTCCTCCTTCTGACACGCCTCCCCCCTCCTCCTACCTGTTTTCTCCCCTCCTCTCTCTTCCCTCCTTCTTGATCTCCTCCCTTCTCATTTTTCACCTCCTTTCGCCTCCTTCCACCTACTTTCTCTCCTCCTCCCTCTTCCCTCCTCCTTTTCACCTCCTATCGCCTCCTTCCACCTACTTTCTCTCCTCCTCCCTCCTCCCTCCTCCTTTCGCCTCCTTCCACCTATTTTCTCTCCTCCTCCCTCTTCCCTCCTCCTTTTCACCTCCTATCGCCACCTTCCACCTACTTTCTCTCCTCCTCCCTCTCCCTTCCTCCTTCTCTCTCTCCCCTCTTGACTTCCTCCCGCCTCCTCCTCCTCCCTCTTCCCTCCTCCTTTTCACCTCCTCTCCCCCCCCTCTTGACTTCCTCCCGCCTCCTGCTCCTCCTCCTCCTGCTCCTCCTCCGCATTCCGCCAGCGATACGCCGGACAAAAGGGAAGGAATGCTGAGGAGTCCTATCTAAGGAACTCTGCTCTTCCTGCTCTCAAATTTCCTTCTCCAAGGGCTGCTGGTGTCGTCGTACTATTTTTTTTTTTTTTTTTTTTTTTGAGGGGGGGAGGGGGGGTTAAAAAGGGTAAAAGAGGTGGTTAGATTTTTTCTTTCCTTTTTATGGAAGTGGAAAGGTGTTAGGAAGTTTTTATTTATTTATTTGTGTGTGTGTGTGTGTGTGTGTGTGTGTGTGTGTGTGTGTGTGAGTCTGTG